TTCAGCAGCTGCTAGGGTTTTTTTCTTCTTTATTCAAACTCTTCTTTTTTTGTATTTTCTTTATACAGTTAAAATATAGGACGAAAGAGGGGATTGCTGGGATGAAATTCTTTATGGTGGATCAAGTCAGCAGGAGGGCGTTATATTTAGACCTTCCCATAAAGACAAAATCCCTCCTACAAAACACCTTACAGACAAAGGAAACATTCGCCTCTCTGCCCCCTCCACAGCTCAAGCTCTCTCGCTCGCAGCGCCGCATTTCTCTCCCTCATGCCATGATCGAACCTTAATTTTGCTTCTTCCCACACTTATCCTAGTTGACATTTTCTTTGTAAAGATGAACAAGGAGGGTTTTCTATATTGTGTAGTTGTTGATGATCAAGATATATATAATTAAACTTGCATTAATATAAGATGCAAAACATATATTTAGATTTTCCATTTCCAGACATGACTTTCACCTGTTAGGTTGAAGTGAATATAATCAGCTGATTATAGTAAGGTGGAATGATTGCATTGGTCTTTGTGGCTTGCGTACGTAGGAATGATAGTAATGGTTTTGAATCGTTTGGAATGTGGCTGACGGATGATGTTGCCGTTGCCATTGCCAAGCGTGTTTGGAGAAAACACTAAGATTTTGAACTGAGCCCCATAATGGACCTCAGGCGGTTGGATTGGGCATTGGCATTGTGTGCAGAGGCGGAGCCACAGTGGGGTCGTTGGGGTCGCACGACCTCTTGGAAGCCATGGAAATAGCCTTGGAGGTCCCTTGGAGCTGCTGGCGCGACCTCTTGGAGCTGCACACCACGTGGTCGACGGAATGCTTGAAAGAAGAAGGAACAGAACAGCTGAAGAAGAAGGAGGAGAGGCTGCTCTGGCGCGCGTCTGTTTTTTTTTAAAACAACCTGGGCAAAACGACGGCGCTTTGGCCCAGGGAATGTTTTTAAATGACCTGGCCAAAACGACGTTGTTTTGGCCCAGGTCTGAACAAAAAAAAGAATGTCCAGCGTATCCCTCTCAGCCTCTCCTTCTCCACAGACACAGATCGATTTTTTTATTCAAAAAACCCCAAATTTCTTTTGTTTTCTCCTCCTCCAACCCTAAGTTCCAAACTCAATCCCCCCCAAGCCTTCAACTCCATCTCCTCCCTTGCTGCCGCCATTGAGGTGTCTTTCTGCTGCCGTCGTCGTCGCTGTGGTGGTGGTGCCGCCAGCTTCTCTCTTTATATTTGCTAATTGTCATTGTGAAATTTCACAATTCAAGTAAGTTCTAAACCCTATATATGATATATTTAATTTAATTGAAACATAATTCATGTTTATTTTGATTATATTGGTGGTTTGATTATATTGTGAGTTTTTATTTTCATTATTTTGTATATGTAGAATATATTTAATTTAATTGAAATTCAATTCATATTTATTTGATTATATTGATGGTTTGTTTATATTGTGAGTTTTATTTTGCAAGTTTTTGTATATGTAGAATATATTTAATTTAATTGAAATCCAATTCATGTTTATTTTGATTATGTTGATGGTTAGTTTAAATTGTGAGTTTTATTTTGCAAGTTTTTGTATATGTAGAATATATTTAATTTAATTGAATATCCAATTCATGTTTATTTTTATTATGTTGATGGTTTGTTTAAATTGTGAGTATTTATTTTGAATATTTTGTATATGTAGAAGTATTATGGAACGGTTTTTTAAGAGAAAGTCATCATGGGGTTCGGGTAGTTCGAATAATGTTGATAGTTCAAATACTGTGGGCAGTTCAAGAACTCCAAGTTCAAGACAAAGTCAGTCAGATGGTGTTTTGGGTAATCTTCAAACGGATCCTGGATTAAGAACTCGAATGATAGATTATGATGCTAATATGAGAGATGAGGTCCAAAGATTATATCTACAAAAAGGACCTTGTCAACCTAGATGTCATAATTTCCCGATAACTAATATGTCGGGAATTAATCGACGCTTCATTCCCCAATGGTTTGATGAGTTTGATTGGTTGGAGTATAGTATATCTAAAGATGCGGCATTTTGTCTCTATTGCTATCTCTTTAAAACCAATTTTGAACAAGTGGGTAGTGAAGCTTTCACTGGAGATGGATTTAAGAATTGGAAGAAAGGGAGAGAAAGATTTAAGATGCATGTTGGACCGGTTGGGAGTGTTCATAATAAGGCTAGAGAAGCTGCTACAAATTTGATGAATCAAGCTACACATATTGAAACGGCAGTGAGCAAACACTCTGACCAAGCTCGTAAGGCTTATCGCACATGTTTGATAGCATCAATCAAGTGCACTAAGTTTTTATTGCGACAAGGTCTTGCTTTTCGTGGCCATGATGAAAGTGCCACTTCAAGTAATAGGGGAAATTACTTGGAGTTATTACAATTCCTTGCAGATAATGATGATAAAGTTAAAGAAGTTGTGATGGAAAATGCTCTGGGGAATCTCAAATTACTAGCTCCTTGCATTAAAAAAGAAATTGTGAATTCATGTGCCCTTGAAACACTTGATGCTATCATGGATGGTCTAAAAGATAGATTCTTTTCAATATTGGTGGATGAAGCACGTGATGTATCGGTGAAAGAGCAAATGGCTATGGTGTTGCGTTATGTGGATGACTCCGGGCATGTAATTGAAAGATTTGTGGGTATCCAACATGTTACCGACACTACTTCAAGTTCACTAAAGGATGCTATTGACACATTCTTTTCTCACAACGGTTTGAGCATTTCCAAGCTACGAGGACAAGGTTATGATGGTGCTAGCAATATGAGAGGTGAGTTGAATGGCCTTAAAACAAAGATATTGAGAGAACAACCTTGTGCATATTATGTTCATTGCTTTGCTCATCAACTTCAACTAGCTCTTGTTGCCGTAGCAAAGAAGAATATAGACATTGCCTCTTTTTTTGCAACGGCTAATAGTGTGGTTAATCATGTTGGAGCATCTTGTAAGCGGCGTGATTTACTTAGAGGGCAACTTCAAGAAGAGCTTGTGATAGCTTTTGAAAATGATGGCACACAGTTGCAAAATTGGGGAAGATTTATTGGTAAAACTTCTATCAAGTCTACCTCCAAAATCCCTTATGCAATTCAAGTGCGCGGCCAAATGGTGGTATGCGTTGATCAACAATCCCAGGTTCGTAGACAATCAACTCTCCAATTGCTTGCACAACAATCAATCAATCTTTTTGAAGCGATTAGTCCCTAATAAGGACCCGAATGCTAGCGACTGAATCAGTGTTCTCAGTGCTTACTTTTTGCGAGGATGTAGATGGTGGTGCACATAGGTTTCTATTGTCTGGGGTGGAGGACATCAATGTTCCAGTTTCTATGGGTGTAATGAGTGGTGGTGAAGAACTTAGGATTGTAGGCCATTGTCATGGAATCATTTGTGTACACGTAGATAATTATAGTAAGGTGTTTTTGTGGAATCCGGCAATTCAGGAATTCAAGCTTCTTCTCTCGGAGAAATACTTTACGGATTGGGAGTCCCTAGTTCAGCAGCGTGCCCCGTATCTACCATTAAGTGATCGGCTCGAATGGGCCATGGGATTTGGCTATGATCCTATATCTAAAGCTTATAAAGTTGTTAGCATTATATTTTATGGTTCGCAAAGGCATGCTCATACATTATATTATGTGGTTATTTATCCTCTGAGAGTACAAGTGTACACGCTGGGAAGTAGTGAAGAATCTTTTTCTTGGAGAGAGATCAAGACTTGCTCTTTGGAAACAGAAACTACTTTCCTTTGGCCTGAAGGTTTCCAGATATACTTGAAGGGGATGTGTTATTGGTTGGGAACTGAGCAACAAAAGGAATTCGTGGATGAGGAGGAACTTCGATATGAAGAAATGATAATAGAATATTACGGGGTAAATTTTTCATTGTATTACTTCCTTGAAATATATACATATATAATCCTTGTTCTACAAGGAAACACTACTCAATAAAGGACACAACAATAAATCCTTCCTAATAAAGGACTCCTAGTATTCACAATATATTTACATACTTATTTAAATAACTCACGTTTACACTCCCCCTCAAGTTGGTGCATATATATCACACATGCCCAACTTGTCAAGTGAGTTACCAAACTTTCGGCTACATACTGCATGAGTAAGAACATCTGCAAGTTGTCCCTCTGACTCCACAAACGATATTGATACAATCTTCTTCTCAAGCTTATCTTTGATAAAATGATGATCAACCTCTACATCCTTCGTTCTATCATACTGTACTGGGTTATCAGCTATGTCCCTTGCTGACTTGTTATCACAAAACAACTTCATGGTATCCTTTGGTTTAAACCCAAGTCCCCAAAGAAGTTTTCGGAGCCAAAGGATTTCACAGATTCCTTGAGCCATACCTCTATATTCGGCCTCAGCTGAAGACCGTGACACCACATTCTATTTTTTACTTGGCCATGTCACCAAATTCCCTCAAACGAAGGTAAAATATCCAGAAGTAGATCGTCTATCAGTTACATCACCTACCCAATCTGCATCAGTAAACCCTTCAATCCTCAAATGCCCATTTTTTCTATACAAGACTCCTTTTCCAGGTGCCGACTTCAAGTATGCCAAGATACGCATAACAACAGCCATATGATCCACACTCGGTGAATGCATGAACTTACTCACAACACTCACAGCATAGGCAATATCAGGGCGAGTATGAGCCAAATAAATCAGTCTCCCTACAAGTCTCTGATATATACTCTTATCAACTAGTTCCTGCTCCGAATCCAAACACAAATGATGCTTATCAACAATAGGAGTCTCTACTGGATTACATCCCAACATACCAGTTTCTTTTAATAAATCCAGTACATACTTACGTTGAGACAAGAAGATACATTTCGACGAGCGAGCAACTTCAACACCCAAGAAATACTTCAAATCCCCTAAGTCCTTCATCTCGAATTCGACCGTGAGATTTCCTTGCAACTTGGACATCTCATCAACATCGTTTCCTGTTATAATCATGTCATCTACATAGATAATCAGGGCTGTTACTTTATTCTGTCTATGCTTCACAAATAAAGTGTGATCAGAGTGACTCTGACAATATCCATTCTTTCTCATGACTTGAGTAAATCTACCAAACCATGCCCGAGGCGATTTCTTAAGTCCATAGAGTGACTTACGCAACCGACATACTCCGGTGTTCCCACCATTGCTATATCCAGGAGAAAAATCCATATACACTTCTTCCTCCAAATTCCCATGGAGAAATGCATTCTTCACATCAAACTGTTTTAATGGCCAATCCATGTTTGCAGCTAAAGAGATAAGAACACGTACCGTATTCATCTTGGCAACTGGGGAGAAAGTCTCCTGGTAATCTACCCCATATGTTTGGGTATATCCTTTAGCCACCAACCTTGCTTTGTATTTGTCTACTGTTCCATCAACTTTATATTTAACTATAAACACCCACCGGCATCCCACTGTCTTCTTCCCTACGGGTAGCTTCATTACCTCCCAAGTATTATTTTTTTGCAATGCCAACATTTCCTCATCCATTATTGCTTTCGCCCACTTTGGATCTTTTAGAGCTTCTTCCATTCGAGTTGGTACATGGATAGACTCCATATTACTTACCAAGGTCTGACGCTATACATAGTTGGCTATCAGATACTTCACCTTCCCTTCAGGAGAAAACCTATTAGGAGGCACACCTCGATTTTATTTTGGCAGCAATTTATAAGTACCTACATTTGGATTAGTTACACAATCATTTACGATACTTACCTTAGGCATATTCAGAGAAGATGTATTGGGTGGCACTTCGGAACTAGAGAGAGAAGGCGTACTAGGCTCCGCAATAATGGGTATACTGGGCGCCGCACAAGGTTGTTCAACAACAGGGTTCTTCTCGATAGTAGCTTGCGGAGACTCTCCTAGTATGGGCTCAGTTATAGGTTCTACACGCTGTTCAACAGTCATATCTCCCCCTTGATCCAACCAACTCAGATTACCATCAGTGTTCTCCCCTTGGTGATCTGAAGTTGAAGGTACAGAAGTGTAGAAATATTCTGTTTCAGAGAAAGTCACATCCATGGTTACATACATATGTCGGGTCTTAGGATGGTAACACTTATACCTTTTTTGGTGAGATGAGAAACCCACAAAGACACACCGTAGTGCACACGGATCCAATTTACTACGATGTATTTTCTGAATATGAACATAAGCCACACAACCAAACACTCGAGGAGTGAGAGTATTACTGGACACCACTGAAGTATGTTGAGTGAGGACCTGAATAGGTGTTTGAAATCCAACCACCCGAGAGGGCATACGGTTAATGACATACACAACATAAGTAACAGCTTCAGGCCAAAACCGTGGAGGAACCGAGGCCCCAAGAAGTAAGGCACGGGTTGTCTCCAAAATGTGACGATTTTTACGCTCTGCAACCCCATTTTGCTGTGGGGTATGCGGACATGTTTCATGGAGAATCCCTTGACCACGGAGAAACTCCGACAACTCAAAATTAATGTATTCTCCTCCATTATCAGAACGTAGAACTTTAATAACGGAAGAATATTGCGTTTGAACCATATGAGCAAATGACCAAAATATGGCACCAACATCACTTTTATTTTTCAACACATAAAGCCATGTCATACGAGTGCAATCATCAACAAATGTAACAAACCATCGAAGTCCAGAAGAAGTAACAATTGGAGAAGGCCCCCAAACATCGGAATGGACAAGATCAAATGGAAAAGGTCTTTTATTCATACTAGGAGGAAACGAAGCACGATTGCTTTTAGCAAGAATACATACTTCACAATGTAAGTCTGATTCATTTATTCCACTAAATAAACGAGGCAACATACGCCTTAAATAGCTAAAGGATGCATGGCCTAATCGACGATGCAATAACCATACTTCTTGTAAATTACTACCATGGAGCACTCGGACTGCATGAGCTCTGCCAGGAACGACATCATCCTCGTAGTACAACCCCTTTCTCTTAACGCCACGCCCAATTATCTCCTTGGTATGAATATCCTGAAGTAGACAAAAGGACGGATACATTAGAACCACACAATCCAATTGTTCAGTAATCTATGGTATGGAAAGTAAATGATGTGATAAAGATGGAACAAGCAAACATCGGTGTAAAGGGAGAGAGGCTGTGAGATATACAGTACCAGCACCAATAACAGGTGCACGGGTACCATTAGCAATTGCAATATATTCCCTGTGAGATGTTGTCATATATTGAAACACATTCTTATCATATGTCATATGATCCGTTGCACCAGAGTCCAAAATCCAACCTGTATGATGCTCAGTGTTGGATGCCAAAAAAACATGCCCTACAGTACCTGCAGTGGAGGATGAATCACCATGGGTAGAACGAGTTAACAAAGTTTGACTCAGGTTATTGGAGATAGTTTCATCCTCCTTAGCTTTTGGTGGGGCAGTAGCCAGGGATGCACGACCTCCATTATTTCCCCCACTCCCACGCTCCTTTGCACGTAGCTTCTTCTTCAATTCTGGGAACCAATCAGGTACCCCATGCTTGGCAAAACACGTATCCTCAGTATGACGGGTTTGTCCACAGAAAGTACACTTCAAATCATCTTTATTTTCTCGGGAAAAAGGATGAGAATTTAAAGACTGATTAGAAGGATTACTAGGACGAAAGGCAGCGGCGGGCCGAGAGACCATGGCCATGGACGGCATCCCTTCTTGGTTGTTACTCCCACTCATCATGGTGGCATGTCTCTGTGCTTCACGCCGAATAACAGAAAACACTTCCTTAACAGATGGTAAGGGTTGAGTACGTAGAATATCACTACGTACTTTATCAAAGATATCATCCAAACCCGCCAAAAAGGCATACATACGATCAATTTGAATCTCATCTCGAAGGGTCTTGAGATCCACTGCACACTCCATCTTGATTGGTCTCCTTTGATCTAACTCCTGCCAAACGGACTTAAGATCAGCGTAATACACACCAACCGGCTTGCCCTCTTGACAGAGTGTGAAAGACTTAACCTTTAATTCATAAATTTGAGAAATATCCTGTAATACACACCAACCGGCCTGCCCTCTTGACAGAGTGTGAAAGACTTAACCTTTAATTCATAAATTTGAGAAATATCCGAACCATCATAATAGGTCCGAGCCACCTCTTCCCAAACTTCTTTAGCAGTACGTAGGTGAATAAAAAATCCAATGATAGCAGGTTCCATGGAATTGATCAACCACCCTTTTACGATTGCATTCCCTATCTCCCATGTCTCATACCCATCACTATTCTCAGCAGGTTCCTTGGTACTCCCTGTCACAAAGCCTTTCCTACCACGTCCAGCGATGTGCATCTCCAAAACTTTGGACCAAAGAGGATAATTTGATCCATTCAGCTTCACTGTGTTTGGTACAGCAGACGCATCATTCTGAATAACAACAGGATTCAATACTGGGGTATTGGTTGGTGTACAAGAGCTACCCTTCAATTTCAATACAGCACTATCTTCCAAAGAGGCCATCCTATCTTACGGTGCACAGCTCTTGATGTAGCACTCCACACAGCACAGCCAAATCACACACGGCACTATCACACACACACCCACACAGCCTGACGTTTTGCAAGGGAATATTGAAGAAAAGAAAGAGTCGGCCGTCAACAACAGCGGAAAAAATATTCTAAGGTTACGGCAACCTAAGCTTTGATGCCAAATAGAATATTACGGGGTAAATTTTTCCTTATATTACTTCCTTGAAATATATACATATATAATCCTTGTTCTACAAGGAAACAATACTCAATAAAGGACACAACAATAAATCCTTCCTAATAAAGGACTCCTAGTATTCACAATATATTTACATACTTATTTAAATAACTCACGTTTACAATGATTAGGCAAGTGATGGTTTCGTTTGACATGAGTGATGAGGTGTTTGATGAGGTAGCATTACTAGATGAGCTGCTAGACCATGAAATAACTTTTTTTGGGCTTTTCATGCTGCTTACAGTATGGAATGAATCTTCCATTGCTCTTTGTGTTTGGCATTGTGATGTTATTCCATACTTTGGAATGTGGCTGATGGATGATGATTTTGGTGCTTGTGTTTGGACAAAACACGCAGGTTTTTGAGCTCACATCGTTCCCCATAATGGACCTCAGGGAGGGCGGATGGGCATTGGCACTCTGGAAAAGCGATGAGCTTCTTGTGGTTGACAAAGATGGATGCACAATCTGCTACCTCCGCACCGAAAACCGAATGTCTCTTCCTACTATACAAATTTGTATGTCGAATCTGGATCCGCCAATTGTTTATGTGAATAGTATAGTTTCGATAGGTATTGGGAGGCAACAAACTTGAGAGATGAGAAAATCTGGCAATATAGAATTTCTTAGTGTATCATGTACACGAGTTTGATACAACATTATGATCCAAGCTTCTAATTTCTAACAACTAATAAAAAGCACTGATTTTTTAAGAAAGAAAATTCTGATCTTTTTCTCACTGTAACGTAAGAGTTTTTATTTTTTTCTACGTACATAGTAGTTGATGATCAAAAGATATAATTAAACTTGTATTGATTGATATAAGCATGCAATTCATATAAGATTTTCCATTTCCAGATAAACATGATGACCATGCCTGTTGCAAAACTATATAGGGATCTGCATTAAGAAATTCCTTATTAATTATCCAAAACATAGAATATATATATATATATATATATATATATAAAACACAAACTGCAAATTAGACATTACAATCATTATCCCGATTAATTCATCTTGTCCCGTAGCTACACATTTATTCATAAATTATATATTTCATCCTTTTTCGATTTATATCAGTATAGCTTAATTCACCCTTGTATCTATAGGCTGTAGCATATACCATACGTCTAATGTTTGCTTACAATCTGTATTGCCCTTACAATTTTCTGGTTTGTTTGCTTTTTTATCAAAGCAAATTCTGACTTCCAGCAAATATTGGTTTGTTGCGTTTCTCTTGCACCTTAGAAGAGGTTTGCACCCGTTTATAAATGATCTGATGGCTTTTTCAAGTGTAGAATAATTATGTGGGGAGTCTGGTAAAATCGAGTGATTAGAAAATAGATCATGAGCTTTGTATTTGTTCCACAAATGCCAGGCATGTTCGAAGTATTTTGTCTGCGAAAACAGGTCGTTGGAGCACTTGCCGTGTTTGTTGTATTCATATTTCCAGAAGTCCAAATTTTCCTTTGACCTTTTGAGGCTTGGCCATGAGTCATTCAGACGAGCTACCAAGTCAGATGTCATCTAATAACAAAGGCACAGAAAAATTAAATATCATTTCGTGCAATCATGCCAAAAAACACCCCCCAAAAAAAAACTAAAACAAAATAAAACAAAACACGAGAAACAGAAAAGCCACATGCATGCAGAATTCTCAATATACGTATGTATGATAGATACCACAGATATATTAAAGTTGTCACCACTGCAATTTCCGATATAACCGGACTTGTTGCTTGGCCACAAGCCATGGATGGTAAATATTGGTGGCGGAGGTTTGCAATCTGTATTATTTAAGCAAAATACAGAAGGAGACTCCTGAACAAACACAAAGTAGTCATACGGTGTAGCAGAAACACTGCGGCTCATTGTTGGAAAGTAGTCATACTTTCCCACAATGTAGGAAAGAGAAATAGCTAAAACCATCGGAACTATCATCTCCAAAAATTTCATGTTTGATTTGAAGTATATTTCAACAAGTAATGCTAATTAAGAAAGGGAGGGAGAGGGAGGGAGATATTAAGGAAGATCTACGGATGAGAAGGGCGATCCATCCCGAGGGAATATATACAGAGCTTTCCAGACACAAGAATTACATGCAACCCTCTACACAAGAATTAAATGCAACCACCAGCTGCAAACGAACTCTTACACAGTTAACTCAGCTGTCTTTTCTGGACTCTAAACAGACAGGGTTAATTGATTGACAATGACAGGGTTAATTGATTGACAATGACAGGGTTAATTGATTGACAATGACAGGGTTAATTGATTGACAATGACAGGGTTAATTGATTGACAATGACAGGGTTAATTGGTTGACAATTACAGGGTTAATGTTGGTTGGGGTACCGCAGATCAAAAGGATAGCAGAAATCTATGTTCCCCTCTCTCTCTCTCTCTCTCTCTCTCTCTCTGCTCCATCTACTGAGTCTGAACATCCATAATAACAAGGAGCTTTGCTACTATGAGTCGCGAATGGCACGTGATCGGAAAGCTCAAATTAATATTTTAGAACAAGCGTACACGTGGTTGGCAATAGAGTGCCTTTCGTACGCAGTAAACATACAACGTGTTTCACATATTCTTACAAAAATAAACGTGTTTCACATATAACGTGTTTCACAAATGCTTACAGAAATAATGTGTTCTAGCTAGCTACAAATTAATGCACGTCCTATAGTCAGTGGCGTAGCCTAAATTTTACATCAGAGGGTTGCTTTCATAAAATTTGTATTTTCTTTATAATTATCATGAATTTCATATTTTAAATTGATTGAATACTAATTTCATCATCTATATTATTAAACACTTAAAAATTAATAATTAATATTCCAACAGAGAAAAGAAATAGAAAAATAAAAAGTTCGTAAAGCGCAATATTAAAGTATCCAACTTATACATAAAAATATGAGGATAACAAATTCACAAAGCTTTAAACGAAAAAGGAAGAAAAAAAAAGGTTAAAACTTTAGGAGTTTTTAGCGCAAATGTATAAATTAACCTAGAAGAAGGGAGATGAGTAGAAGAGAGATCAAGCAATTTTATAGTTAATTTGTAGACAAAAAAACTCTCCACTGTACGTACAAGAGTTTTCATTTTTTCTATGTACATTGTAGTTGATGATGAAAAGATATAATTAAACTTGTAGTTGATTGACATATGCATGCAACTCATATAAGATTTTCCATTTCCAGATAAACATGATGACTATGCCTGTTGCAAAACTATATAGGGATGTGCATTAAGAAATCAAAACATAGATTATATTTAACACAAACTGCAAATTAAGCATTACGATCATGATCACGATTCATCGCGTCGCATAGCTACGTTCACATTAATTCATAGATTATATACTAGCAAAAGGTGCCCGCGCGATGCTGCGGGTTTTAAAATTGCGTGAAATGTGTATAAAGCGATGAAAATAGGCAGGGAACATCTCAACTACCCAGTTGCCAAAATACTCGGGGTCTACCAACATGTTCAAATATTGTAATCATCTAAACCTATCATTACAACAACAAAATAACACCAACCAATTGCCAATTGATGCCATTAGCTAATTCCTATGCTCTATTCATAAAACTCAAAAAAATTAATTGAAATTTCAGCCTAGAAACTCACCCCTTACTTAACAGAACTGAAAACGCCAACCAAACCGCTCTATCCAAAGCAACGAAAGACCACAACGCAAAAATCAGCAAAAATCAGCTTGGTAAATCAAACCCGTAAACAAAAAAATTATGAATTTTAACTCTTCTGAATTCTTTCTCGTCATCACTAATGTCCACAAACAGAATTCCAATTTAGAAGTTTTCAAATCCCACATATATTTCCTAAACCAGTCTTCTTCAAGTCAACTATGCTAAAACATTGCAATCAGTTCCTAGAATCACACTCCCAAATTTTCTTTCCCCTACCAAAACAAAAATTATCAAATTCAGATCCATAGTCCCATAAACCAGTATAAGAACGAATTTGAATTAAAACCCTGTAGTAAAAGAACGAACATATCTTTAAACAGAGCTACCAAATAGCAGCACATCCTGCTTACCAAAACAGAGCTATCCTAAACCCTATAACAAAAGAACCAGCATATTCAAATACCGATTTCAGGGTTTACCAACTAATTTTTAATAACCAAACAGAAAACCTTACCAAAAGCAATCATATAGTATTTTAATAACTAAATTGTTTAACCTGATTTCATGAAAATAATAACACAATCAAATCAATTTTAGTATTTGGATAAAATTTGCAAATCAATAACACAGACCCACTATGAGGAAAAATTAGGGATTTGGACTTTTAGGGCAGCAAATTAAAACAGGTCTCATAGTTTAATCAAATAAGATCCAAGATATTAGTAACAACAAAAATCGAATGGAAAGATGAAGCAAAATTTACTTACAGATCCGTGAGAGAAAGAGACTGAAACAGAGAGAAAGCTGGAGTTCGATCTGAAGAAGAAGACCAACACACGCCACTCCTATAAAGTCGAAGCCTCCAGATAATCATTCGCAACGGAGGAGAGAAAGGAAGAGAGAAGAAAGAGAGAGAGGGCTGCAATGAAGGGGATGAGGTTTTCCTTCTCTCAGCGACTCCAACGACAATAATTGAATGATCTATTTTGATCACACAGCATAAAAACATAATTAACAATCCGAATCAAGCATGCGGGCGAAGAAATTATCTCATAGTTCCTTAAAAAAAAAACAGCCATATACCACAACCTTACCAACTGAAAAAGACAATTGTCACAAAGCCTCAATGAACGGCATGGATTCATTGTCACCTAACAATAAAGAAAATAGTTAGCACTTGCATATAAACACAAAAAAAGAACAATGAGTCATATAACATGTAGGTTTTGGACACACATTCTAATTTTCACACTGGATTGAAAGCAGTGCAAATTGTGGATCGGAACAATGTTCATTGTGCCATCAATCTGAAGAAAAAACATATATGCCCTTCGTTAGTATAAAGATGCATAAAAAATTATTCCATAAAATAGAGGAATGTTTAATCATGTATGAATAGAAGCTGAAACCTGAGAGTAAATTTTGAAGAACATCTTTGTACACTATGTTTTTAGTGTACTTATTTGGCACTTCGTTATTATTATCTATTATGATTTTGAGGCCTTCTCTAGACGTAGCTCTAGATAACGCGACATAAAGCTGCCCATGACTGAAAACAGGTTGGGGAAGATATAACCCAACTTGTTTTAAAGATTGACCTTGACTTTTGTTTATTGTCATAGCATAGCATGGTCTAATTGGGAATTGGCGCCTTTTAAAAATGAAAGGCCATTTGTTTTCTGTTGCTGAAAGAACGATCCTAGGTATAAACACTTTGTGGCCAATGTGGCTACCAGTGAGTATTTTTGCTTCAATAACTCTATCAACCATTTGGGTCACAACTAATCTTGTTCCATTACATAAACCTGAAGATTGATTTAGGTTTCTCAATAACATTATAGGCATGCCTATTTTTAAAGTCAAACTATGTTCAGGCAAACCATTGAATTCAAGTTGATTGAGAAATTCTGTGGGATAGATCATACAAAGGTTTTCAAAATTGGTTGATGATGAACATAAAGAATCTGAGCTCAAATAAATGCGTTTTTCTCCAGGCAATAAGTCTATTGCGTAATTATTTATCTCTGTCACAGTAGAATTCCTAGCTGTAACAATGGCTCGTTCCCTTAAATAAGCAAAATCGGCAAAATTTTTGTCGAAATCTGGGTAAGTTGCCAAAAAAATTGATTGAATAGGATCTATGTTTGATTGAATGAGTAAATCTTGAGGAATTTCAATCCAAGGTGCCTCTTCATCATTTGGATCGTCAATATCAATTATTTGGCCATTTCCAATTTGAAGAATCCAGGCAGCAAACTCACTTATTTTCTGTTTTTCTTCACTGTTCAACCCTTTTTTTGATAGCCTCATGTTTTCTTTTAAACATAATATTTTAAAATAAGGCCATAAGTAAGAGCTATTTAGAGAGGCGTCTATGATTTCTTCTCTTGTTCCTCCTGGAATAATTGGTAATATTTGTCTAAAATCACCACCTAGTAAAAAAGGCCTGCCACCAAATGGAGCATTTTGATGTGATAAAATATCACGAAGTGATTTATCTAATGCTTCAAAACAATGTTTATGATTCATAGGAGCTTCATCCCAAACAATTAGTTCAGCCTTTTGAATCAATCTAGCAAGATGAGTTGTTTTTTTAATCTGACATGTTGAGGAATTGGTAACAATTAAGGGAATCTTAAATCTTGAGTGAGCTGTTCTACCACCTGGCAATAATAATGACGCTATTCCTGATGAAGCAACAGCTAAAACAATCTTGCCTTCAGATCTAATTTTACTTATTATAGTATGCCACAAAAAAGTTTTTCCAGTTCCTCCATGGCCATGAACAAAAAAAAGGTCTGGTTTTTTTTCATTCACAGCATTAATCACAGAATCATATACATCTCTTTGGCCTTTGTTTAGCTGTGTTATCAAAATTGAGTGTTCTTTTCTTAAATGATGAACATCATAATTTAACTCTTCTCTTAGCAATTTAATTCTAATTTCTGACATTTTATGTTCATCAGGCATTGGAAGATAATGATCTTTTAAAGAGCTAGATGATGTGTTAAAAAGTTGTTCTAATTCAAACAAAAGCGAATTTTTTAATTCAGATTCTGACAAAATAAGATTTGGCATTAGAAAAGCTTTCTGTAGTTTGTACAAAATGTCATCACACATATTTTGCCAATAAGTATCAAAAAGCAATTGAGGATTTCCTACATCACAAAACAAAATGATTGTAACAAACAATTGTCTTAGTTGAGAACATGAGGCTGTGTCCACAGCATTTGCTAAGGCCTCAATCCATTGCAGCTATAAAAATAAGATTTTTCAAACACAACATCTGAAAACAAATTAAACACAATTTCTGCAGCCTAACCAAGCAAACCAAATATACGCAAGAACATCATAACCACAGAAATAACAATTTTCAAATGAAACAATATCCAAAAACCAATTTTCTACAGTTGATATGCATGACTTCTTCAGAAGACGAATAGAAAACTGACCTGTTGCCTAACAACAATGGGAAGAGCTATCAAACAGTCGAAAACGCAGTTAAGACAACACCTATAACAAACGCAACCGAAAAAATGAAATCAAGGAATAATCAAAAGAGCAAAAAATAAAAACATACAGATTCTGTTTGTGATTATGGTTTGAAAGCACATGACTTATATATACATTCTGATTAATATATATATATATATATATACACACATACATGCTCTAAATAAAATGTAAGAAAGACCGAAGTAACAACACATTAAAAGCAGCAACTTCTAAGCTAATTACTTTTGAAAATTTCAAACTTTCATATATATATATATATATATATAGAGAGAGAGAGAGAGAGAGAGAGAGAAATTACCCATGCAAAAGCCAAGGTTCTCGCCAAGATCAGCAGCAAAAATTGTATCTGTCAATTACAACCAAGGTCAGAAAATCGTAGGCAAAGATATTGACACATGGTGTATCCTTAATTATATAACTGATCTGTTATATTTGAGTATCCTATTAACTCTAAAAAGTTAGTGATAAAGTTGGTGATTTAGTTTGTTAGATTATAGATTTCTTGATTAGTAAGAATGAGCAGCCTGAGACTATGAATTACATATAGTCTCGCTAGCTTTCATAAAATATTTAAGAGAGGTATCACTCAGCCAAAAGAAAAGTAGATACCTTTAATCAATAGTGAGCAATGAAATTATGCCTTTTTTTTTCTAAGCAAATTAGTTGAAAATAAAATATCAGAAGCAAGATTGGTCTCTAGGGATTTCAATTATCATCACATCTTATACTTCGGGTTCAAGCATGGCATAAACAGTAATTGAGAACAAAAACAAAGATTTTATTGACACTTAACCAATGAGATATTCCTAGCATACATTAAACCTAACTATTTTGACACACCATCAATGATACATTCCTAGCATACATTAAACCTAACTATTTTGCACATCAATAGACTTGAAAATCAAATATGAAAAGCAACATTGGTCATGCTTTTATGCATCAACTTTTGGTTCATTAGTTCATTAGCTTTAATATACCAACCTTTGGTCAAAACTAATTACTCAGTTTTTTTTTTTTTTTTTTTTTGACATC